ACTCTTTATCTTCCTAATGTGTGCAGACAACTATTTATTGTACGTTGGTTTATTCCACAATATGTATTAGTCTTTAATGTGTTATTCGTGTCTTTCTTTTGTGAGTGTGTGTGTGTAGTTTGTAACAATAACGTGTAACCAGATATTAAACTATCCTATTTTCTATCTTGCGTTTGTAAACCCATTTAGTTTTTATCAACGACATTTACACTCTATCTAATGAAAGGCTAACGCCGAAACATCAATGAAATCCTTTTGCTGTAACATGCATCCACTCTATCGATTTTTTTTTGTCCTTCGCATTTCTTCATTCTTTAGAACGTTTCTTAGACTCCTTTTCATTTCAGTCGTCACGTTCCTTACGATCGACCTATAGGCTGAAGAGAGCAGATGTAGCTAGACGTTACAATTCTCAGCTGATCATATAATGAGTTTTGTTGCCTTGCGTGATATTATATATTACTTATTGTAATAATAATAATATGGTATTAAATTTTCTTTTTTTAAGTTGTTCGTATAATGCGCATGCGTGTAGTTTACAATTACTGTTTGGTTGTTTTTAATATATTTTTTTGTTTGTAGTTAAACACATAGGGCTAGCTGTGCTTTGCCCACCATTGGTATCGAAACCCGGTTTCTGTTGTAAATCCGCAGACATTCCGCTGTGCCACTAGGGGGAGGGGGACTTGAAATAGGTAATGAAATGATAAAATATTTTGTTGTTTTTTTCGTAATCGTACTACCAGTATTCTTTTGTTGTCTTCCATTGCCAACAAAATAGTAAAACTGTTTCTTGAGGATTTGATTAATATTGTTAATTAAGAAACGTAAGAACCTTTAGGCTCTAACGATATTAAAGGAAGAAGTACACCGTGTTATTAAGCTTCAGAAAGAAAAATATCTAGTTGCTCTTACGGTTTCCAAATTCTGTAATTATAACTATCCTATATCGGAGTTTACCGGAGCGAATCTGCAGCCCTGCAAGTCTGAGTCATGGTATTGTTCACGCTTACATGCATCAAACATATGTTTTTGTGTTTCGTTACATTAGGACGTTAAAGATGGAAAGAACAGAAAAACTTTCCACAAAGATAAAAACATTTCTTTGTCTTTCTTCAGGATATCATTTTCTATTTCTAAAATAAAATACTGTTTGATTCGGTATGCCTTCAGACTCCCCTATCTTGGGTATTTTAGTAAGAATACACACTTATCTCCCGTTTTTACAAAGTAAATTTGATTTTCATATTTTTTATAAAGTAAGTATATATGTATATATCTAGTTTTGTTCGTTTGTTTGTTATGAAGCACAAAGTTACACAATGGGCTATCTGTGCTGAGCCCACCACGGTTATCGAAACCTGATTCTTAATATATATATACATACATAGAAATAGAGCGAGAGAATGCTGGGTATATTATATCAAAACGATTCTAAATAGGAAAACAGCAAGTCACAGTAGATATAAAGTCGCGGTAGAACTGTATCTATCATAAAAACATTTTTAGATAATGTCTGGCGTTGTTAAATATTCTTAACGATCACAATGATATGTTCATATAGCGGGTTACGAACTGGAAAACCAGACAAGCACTATGGATCAAACTGGGGCAAATGTACCAACAGGTGAGAATCCACGAACACAAAGGTCAATGAGCAAAAGCCGTCCACATGCCCAGACAACAGTACGCAACATAAACAAGAACCTCCATTTGGAAAAACGACACAAGTTTCTTCCACGAGAAATCTGTTCAACCGACATACCTAAGACAGTTGGATGATGGAACGAGTATTCATACTTTTCCATACGAAGACATTACGGTCAATACGCCAACGAGCGCTGAGAAACCATCGTCCTTCTACACTAGATAGATTACGGAAAGCCAAAAGATGTGTTTTGAACTCGATAGCCTTACGACGAAGCCTTTTGCAACGAAAATTACGCTGCACAGCTATTTTAAAGATGTACTGTCGTCAGATAGAGCATGAATGGACGTGAAAATATGGACTGTAACG